CCGTGCGTTGGCCAATTATTGATTTTGGTTCGTTTTTGCACAAATCAAAAACAAATTATGGTAAAGTCGTGCCTATCATGCTGCTTTAACCGTACAAAATGCATTGCTAAATCTCAAGCTGAGCATGAAGATATACGTACGTTTAAAATATTCAGTAATTATGCGTTTTTGTCGTGTGGTGCTAGAGCGCTGCAACAGGCAGCACAGATGCATATTTTAACCCTGTCTGTATGTGTATGTTTGTGTGCTTGTGTTCGTCTGTCCGGGTATTTCTACTCGTCAACCACACAAGCTTTGGTGCTAAAGTTTTGCTAGTGTGTTCCCTGGTTAAGTGCGACCCCGGGAAAGTGATATCAACTGCCACCCACGTCCACGTCTCACGTACGGACATTTGGAAGTGTCGGCGGGAAAACGGCTACTTCGGAGAAGAGAAAAACTAAAAAGCTGAAACTTTAGGGCAGTGTTCTATACTCATGCATGACCAAAAGATTTCAGATTCAGCCGTTTAGAATCGCGCGGGACTCACGTACGGGCATGTGGAAATTTTGTCTGGAAAATTGCTAGGTCGAACTGGATGGCTGGAATTTTAAGGAAATGTTCCCTATCATGTGCGACTAAAAGATTTAAAATTCCACTCTTCTAGTGAGGTTTTTTTTAGTTCACCAGCAGTTTCACCTACGATCCTGACCCTAAAACCCCAATTTTCTCTCCAGTAAACTATCCCTTTGTCTCCACGATTCGGATGACTTCGAATTCGCCTCAAAAACAGTTCATCAACAAATTTGATCCCTTCTTATTCCCATTTACACAAAACAGAAAGCTGGAGGTTTGCAGGGATATTCTCTGTGTTTGCATGAGCTAAACATTTCAAATTCAGTCATAGCACAAGCTCATATCGCGCATACGGTCATGCCTTAGCACCAATCAGCGGCCTGCATTGGCGGAGAGCTGAAACTGCTCTTTCATCTGGGTGTGCAAGAGAGTTACTATATAAGCGGGATCACCTGCTTGCGAGGTCTCGTCTTGTCCGGTCGGGCTCAGCAATCAGCATCGTTGCCCTTGATTTAGCTCCTTGACTATCATCGCCCCCGTCTGGCTTATGTTCCTGGATCGATTTTGCCCTTGGACAAACTTCATCCAGGTTAATTAGCTTCACCATCGGACAGGAGAACGTTATCATATTCCTAACCTTTACTCGGAGTTCTTAACTGGCTCCTAAAAATCCCACAATGCAGCTATTCATTGCTGAACCGCTCCCAGAAAAATTTGGCCCCCATAATCTGGACTGTGTTTGCAAAAAAGACTCTCTCGTTTGTTTAAACTCCACTGTGTTCATTAAAGCAGAATCAGTTGTTTCTGACCCAGTGCTTATCGTTCTTCAGCGTATGTTTGATCTTGGAGTTAATTTTTGATTGCGTTCACCTGACTAATTTTTGCACTTTTTAATTGAACTTTTTGCATTTTTTACCCAGAAATGATTATAATGCTTTCCGACAGCTTGATCTTCCTAGGTAAGCACATGGAAATCAGCAGCTTGTGGGAAAAAAAGAAGTAGCTACTTCTGAGAAATTAAAATTAGCCTAGAAGATTTCTGTAGAATGTGGAGTTTCGGCATTCTGAAAAATCGCTGATTTTTAATGATTTTTTTCGGACACAGTTTTTTTAGGTTTTATTTCGCTTTTATAGTATGTTCACAGAGCATTCGATACTCGCGCGGCAAGCAACAAACAACATTTCCAAGTGATCGGATCCGATTCGAGACTACGATTTAACTGCATTCTGGAAATCTTTTTGAACCGTACCGATTTGCCAACTGTGACTTCTATATTAGCAACTTCATCAGTAGCATCAGTAAAGCTGACGCTAGTCCTGTAAATCACAATATTAAGATTAGAAATGTTTCGAAGTTGTGCTATTGCCTGGTCACAGATACAAACAAAGTGACTGCATACTGGGTTCTAGACTTACAGCGTCTTGTGATAAGGGGCGTGGTGAGCAGGAACGGCAAAAGGGGTAACAAGTGGCAGCAGTTGACTGCCGATGTCACAGCACTTTAGAAATTCATTTTCGAGTAACGCTAGAAGATGACAGTCGTTGAGTTGGAAAACTACATTAGTATGATTACGCATGTAAATAAAGAAACAATAGGGCACCCAGAGAAATGGCGCGATTACGAGTTTCTACGATAAGCTACCGCAGGCTTGACGTGCTTGAATGCATCAGAATATACAAAAGTTCTTCAGATTGTTAAAAGATTTTTGTGACCTACGCTTCAGATAATAATCTGTAAGCTGTCGTAACTAAAGATCGAGGAACCCGCACTGCCCCTCCGTCTGCTGTACTGGCATAGTGCTAAGTTGTCAAGTCAACTACGTTTCTTACGACAGTACGTAAAGAACAACTGTTTCTCATACTAAACTGTCAAGATGCTTTTAAATTTCAGCACCGTAATCCCCTTAGTTTCAAAGCTGAAATATTGCAATAAATACATACACATACCAGGAGTACCAAAAGAAAATGATGCACAGATGGGAAACGTGATAGGTGGCGGGAGCTGAAGATCTAGCGTTGGCTGTGACGAACAGAGAGATGGATTGAAGGTTACTTGGCGCGTTATCTGCGATCAAGTGAACAGTCAAACCACATTACAGTTCTTTATTAAGCTACACAACTTTTCTTTGCTACTTTTGAATTATATCAGTATTTTTCTCCTATTTTCCTCTGAGCGCTATTCCTACTGAAAAAGGCTTCCTCTCAAGATCATCTTATACAAACTGGTAATAATAGTGGCTCCTAGACGAGTGAGGCTATTTGTTTTCGGTAGAGCTAATTTTATATAGCCACGCACTGGAAACGTTTCAGTAAGATCGCCAAAATTGCTCGATTATTAGTATGGATCCACCACAGTTACCGCAATTATAGTTCAGTTGCAATTGTTGCCCTAAGCTGCCTATCTTCGACTTCCCTTCACCGTCATTGCAGGATAAGGCAAACACTCGAAAAGTTCCCCGTGACATTCTGCTGTTTTTCGATAAGTAGCGTACATCACTTACTGAGAAATGCGCGCAACGATTTTGTAAAAGTTCATCAATGAATATTTTGCTCACCTGAAGCAGGCAAAGTAACAACCCACGATAAAACAATATTCCGAAAAACACCCCAGTGAACGCCTGAACTGTGCGACTTGATCACACCTACAGCTACTACGCTGCCAACCTGGAATACTGTTTAAATAAACTGCTCCAAATTCCAAAAGATGAGTTGAAACAGGCAGCGAGAGGGTCTGCAATGCACCAGGCTTGTCGAGGCGATTATGCATTTTTGCATCAAACTTGCAGCGGTCATATCGTTAACAGCAGGTCGTGTTATTGTTTAATAAGTTTACTCATGTTGGTTGTGTTTTGGCTTTTTCCTGTATACAGGGGGAAAAAGGCGACGGCTGAGATGGCAGTGTTGCATCCCGGGGCGTATGAACCTCCAGTGTACATCATTTCCAATTTTGCATGAAGCCGGAAAAGGCAAATTTGATAGTGCGTAGAATGCCGGAACAGAGGGACAAAATAAGCACTCGTTTTGGAGTCTGCTATAAAATTAAGCATTTGTCATGTTCGAGTGCAGAAAATTTCACCTCCAAGTTGAATTAAGACCAAATGTGAGTATATAATATTTCTGCAAAGCTCCGGCTTAGCATTTTGCCTGGTAAGCGAGATCACCTCTTCGCTATAAATATCTTTGAAGTGCTTTAAGTCATGGCGCAAACGCAAAATCGAACTTCGTGTAGGCATACAATTTCCCAGATTGAGCATAATATTTTGACAAAATTTCAGTACTGTTTTCCAGCTACAACGTGGCCGCACGCGTGGTTCAAGCGTGCGTGATAGCTGAATCCAAGATTTTTAATTTACACATGCACAAAGAATATCGCTGCAAAGTTCCAGCTTTTTATTTTATCTGGTTCTTGAGACCGCTTTCTTGCGAAAAATTTGCATATTTTTTGAGGAATCCGTAAGTGGGAATTAGGCGTAGCGAACGTTAATATTAAAACAAGAGGGTCGCAAACGGGGCAAGTACAAACTCCCTCCGGTTTCTAGCTTCTCAGGTTTTCGAGCTAAAAACAGATGACAAATACACATGGAAAGCCTCTTGCCAATACATGTTTTTGCACTTGAGTATTTTGTAAAAACTCATAAAGAAGAAAAAATGAGAAAAACAATCGTTCAATGTCCAGCACAAAAAGAAATTTTGTCAGAGACATATACTTACCAAGCAGTGCGTTGTGCTGATCGGTAATCCTGCCTTGCTTGCCAGCAATGCTGTTACTGCAGCGCCAAATTCAATCGTGAAGCCACTAGAATTTGTCAAATTTTATTCAATTTACAGACGCAAGTGCAAGAGCGTATTTTAACGAGAGTTTGTTTGTGTGTATGTTCTGGTGATGAGAACTTTTCAGGGACAATAGAAAAATGCTTTTTTAACTGGTACAAATTACCAGTCTGTCGGTAACTGAAAATAATAAGAACGCCAAAATCTTGTCATTTTCAAAAAAAAAAAAACAGCGATTTAGGTCTTACACTATCGAAAGCGAAAAACAGGTTATAACCTATTTTCCCTCCATCCCTCCCGCTTCATAACTCACCCCTCCCCGCAGTTACATTCTCTCGCCATATCAATACTAATGCACAGCAGTTTATAAGAAAGAAGAACAGCCCCAAGCGAGTACTCTCTAACCAAGTGGCATTAGCTCTGGACAAAAAGAAAGTCATATATGCTATGTATGTGTCCAAATTTAGCTCCGGTTGCGGATTTTTATTCGATCACGCAACTCAATACTCATAATTCCGCTCCCTTGTGGCTAAATTCTCGCGTTTTCGTGTGATTTTGGGTGACTTTAGTCAGAAATTATGTCCTTCGATTCAAATCCTTAAGTTTTTAAGTGCAGATTATTTTGGCCCACTTTGCATGCGAAAGTCACTGACTCTATACTGTAGCCGGATACTCTTTAATCCATAGCAGATCCACAGTCTATGACTGTAGGAATCAAAAGGACAACAAAATTTGCATACAAATTTTAATTTTTATCCGCTTTTGCAGGCAAATGCACTTGCTTGACAAATTAAAATAAATGGCCAACGCACGGGCTGCCCGTGCGAAGATGCGTTTTTTGCAGAGTTCCCC